CCACCTACAACTGCAAAGCCGGATTTTCTGCACTTGTTGGCCTGAAAACAAAGCTGCGCAACCGGATCAGTGTGGACTACGATATGAGACTGAAACTCTCAGATTTGGAGCCAGATATTGCTTCACTTATGGCACAGAAAATACAGCACCATTCTTCCCATTAAGATGGCAAAAGAAAACAATGAGTGAGTACAGACTAAAATTTTGTAAAAGCTTTGATTTTGTTGGGATTTAAGGATTGGACTTTTATTATGTCAAGTTTACTTCCTGCGTTCGTTTGGCTGCTTTGTGTTTGATGGTTGTTGCAGGCTGGGCGGGGCCATGGCTGAGGAGGGCTCGCTCATTCTCCACTGCACCTGTTCCTCCTCAGCAATCTGCACGGCTCTTAAGCCGGCTTCTGCCCATGGTTCAGCGCCAGATGATTAACTCTCCCCTGAGCGGTACATCGGCCACGATTGAGATCTTGAGTTCTAGAGCTTTGTTAGTGTTCCTCGTGCTAATCCTCGTCTCTCGTCCTTTCCCCCACAGAGCTTCTCAGCCTGCCGTCTTCTCCAGCCCAGCCTTCTCGTGTGAGCAACCTGCAGCAGCCTACAATACCCCCACCTAAGGATTCACCTTTCTTGAGCACAGTATCGCCGGAGCACGGATTCCCCTCACTGGAGCCCCTGGACGAAACTCCTGGATAACCCTCTCCCTCTTCACCTCCCTCACAAGACCTGCATGTGCCTGCGGTCCTCCTCCTGTTTCCTTGGTGTCCTCACTCCTTTACCCAATAAAGTCCCCTTTATTATTGCAACCTGCCTCCTTTGTCACATTTTGGGTCCGCTTCCTGAAACTTAGGAGCTTCCTCCTAACAGATTTTATGTTGTAAACTGTTGTGTTAAGTTGGCATATTGTTTTAGGGGCTATTTAGAGTTAGGTGGTCCGTGTATGTTTGTTGTATAGGTTAAGTGGTCCTTGGACTGAAAAAGTCTGAGAAACACTGGCTTAGTGTGATCTTAGATTGCTGTTCACCAGAGACAGACAGGAGTTGGAGGGATGAGATTGTTTGGAGCACATGGTTAGATGTAGCTAAAGCTCTCAAAGTAAAAGTGAGTAGCTAGTGATTTAGTGCAAAGAGTTTTTCATTGATGTAAGAAAAGGCAGTGGAAATGTATGTTTGGAATGCCTGCTCCTAGCTGTTAGCAGTGTGTCATTAGATGGGTGTGAAGACCTGAGCAACTTTAAGATGGGTCAAATCAACATGGTTAAAACATCTCAGAGGAGGAACAGACGGTGAACTGGTGACAGGATATTGGAGATGTGCTGGAACAAGTCAATCTGTGGCAGCTCTGGTGTAAAACTTACAGAATTAAAGATCTTCCGTTAACATCCTGGTGCTGGATACCGCAGGACACCTCCAGAGTCCAGATCTCAGGAGGTCAGAGCTGTTTCAGCAGGATGCAAATGTGTCACAGATCAGGGCTCAAGTGAGGACGACAAAGACACAGCAGACAGGACTTGCAAAAAATAACTAGTTTATTTACAGCAATATTATTTACAACAAAGATAAACAGACTCAATGCAGCAAAGAGGTAATTCTTTCCTTAGGCAGTGACTAACCAGGACTTGGTACAACCAAGCTAGGAAAGCTGGAAGTAAGACGGAGATAAGTATGTGCACATGGCACAACATCCTACAATATACAGAGTACCCATATGGTGAAACTACACAGAACACAATATAATCTAGAAGGCGCCAACATAGCAAAACTACACAGAACAGATTAGTAAACACTCAACAGTATACACAAGTACAGCAAACTACTGGGAACCTGAGACAGAGTGGAGCTAACTTAGCTGCAAACCAGGTGGGGACTAAAGGAGAGGAAGGAGGATGCATGTGGCAAGGTAGGAATGGCATCTCGGCAGGTGCAGACTTCAGGTGGAGACGTTCATGGGGGAAATCCAATGAGAACCAGGTTGGATAATTCACGGCAGGAGCTAAGGTTTCAGCACATGGCAGACCGAGCAGGCAGGGAAGGTGACAGAGCTGCAGCGAAGGAGAACCCAGTCAATGCAGAGCCAGACAAAAGCAAACATGAACAGAGCAGAAGTAGGTTTGATCAACTGATTGCTGCACAATGGTCCGGCACCATTAGTGGTCTGGGTGGTCACCCCCACCCAAATGAGTTGAAAGGGAAAGGAGGGAGAAGGAAAGGAAGGGAAGGCTGCAGCTAAGCAGAGCTGGACATGGAGGGCATGAAAAACTGACAAGCAGCATTTCAGGCAGTGATTATCATAATGTTATGGCTCAATAGCATATACGAGGTGTGTCAGAAAAGTTCCAGGACTGGTGTCACAAAAGATATATTTCGAACCCAAACTACAAACTAGGAGTTTCCCCTTCAGATGATCAACCAGCACATATACAAAGAGATCCTGCAGCGTTTGCTTCGTTCAGTGCGCAAAAAGAGGCCAGAGTTGTGGCAGGACAAGTTGTGGCTTCTTCACCATGACAACACACCTGCTCACAATGCCCTGAGCATCCGACAGTTCCTGGATGAGAAGAACATCTCTGTGCTGGAGCAACCTCCCTACTCACCCCACCTGGCTCTGTAGGATTTGTTCCTCTTCCCCAAGCTCAAGGGGTCATCAAGGGGACCTGTTTTGAAGACGTAGACGACATGAAGATGGCTGTGATGACGGAGCTGTGGAGGATCCTGGAAGAATCTTTCCAGGAGTGCATGACGGCGTGGCAGAGAAGGCTGGGAAAGTGTGTTAGACTCCAGAGGGATTACTTTGAAAGGAAAACTTGTAGTTTGTAGTTTGGATTTGAAATACAGTCGTGACTCGACAGTCCGACACTAAATGTAAAAAATTCTTTTATGTTGGATAGCAAGGCTGTCGGATTGTCAAGACGGAGGTCGAGATACAAGGACGGATTGATGCTTGAAGGGTAATCTGTTGTTAATATTTATTGTTTATAGTTGTTATAATAACTAGTGTGTTGTCAGAACCTAATGCATCGCTGGATTTCACGTCTAATTGACCGGTGCACTTGTGCATGTTCCAGCCACTTTCACCCCGGAGGAGCGCTCCAATGGAGTGGAAGTGGCCGGAATGCCCAGGCAGTACTTGGCTGCTGATGCCAGTTTAGGATAGCGCACACACTTCTGTTGCCATTGAGCATTAAGTTCAGCAGTCTGAACATAGCCAATCTATCAGATTGTTTTGTCAGATAATACGCCGTTATCCTTATTTGTGACATAAAATGTCATGAGTTGGAATCCAAGGCTGTCGGTATGTTAAGGCTATTTTTAATGGGTTCGTTTTTCCTAAAAACTTGTTGGATAGCAAGGTTTTCAGATTGCTAAGGGTTGGATTATTGAGTCACGACTGTATATCTTTTGTGACACCAGTCCTGGAACTTTTCTGACACACCTCATACAGTAAATTCCTAAATATCAGGTCAACAGGTGCTCAGTGAGCTGGTGGTTCAGGGCTTCTGAATCAATAGGTATACTGAGAATCTTCATTTGGACAGTCAGCTTTCATTCATCAAGGTATCGGAATGAGGAAATGCTTCCCACAGCTAACCATGGAGCATGAATGGGAGGATTTTGATGTCAAACTACAACAGTTTTGTCTTTAAAGATGTATCTGTCATGAATAATCTGGTGCTTATCATTTTATAACATACTTTTATCAAGTGCTGCTCAAAGGGAGGCCAAAGAAAACTTAGGACTTGTTGGTTTTTTCTGCATAATTTTCCAAGGTCTTATTATATAAAGAGCCTTGAGATGACATGTTATGAATCGGAGCTATATAATTATAACTGAAAAGAATTTAATTAAAGTATTTATTGTTGAGTTGTATGGGTTTTTTTTAAAAAAACACTAACTGAGGATAGAAATGTGGGGTTGTGTGGCACCGATTCATGCTATCTTTCCAATACTAATAAACATTAAATGAAATAAAGTTAAATTAAAGTCACTTTCTTTGATTTTTGGTGAGGAGAAGACTTTGTTAAAATCTTCTGTAATCTTTCACAAAGACAGTGTACTTTAAGGTTGAACAGTCTTTGGAGAAAAACATTCTCTGGTTCTTTGTGTTTGCAGTCACTGAAAGCACAACATTTAAAGGACTTGCAAGAAGAGTCTATATTTTGTCAGATTCCTATAAGACTTCTATTGCATGTCTGTGGCCCTTGAAAGATAATCAGGCATCTAGAGTCACTGCACATCAAATTCAAGGACTCTTCAATTACATTCAAGGTCTTGTTTGATGGAGGTTGTATGTCATCTTTTAAAGTACTTTCAATTGAACTTTATGCTTCCAGCAGATGTGTTATTTTTCTGATTGGGTTTTCAACTATGCATGTGTTGCTGTAGCCTTCCTATAGGAGATTATAGCATGCGTTCATACTCTGCTATTATCATACTTTTTATGTGACTTTGGGTTTATTTGAGTTAAAGTTTAGACTTGTAGCAGCTGCAGGGTGCTTTTAAGGTCTTCTAACATTTCTTTCAGGATCCTTTTTTTTCTGGCAGGGAATAATCCAGACAGGGCTATCAGCCACTACTTCAGATACAGCTGGCTTGTCATTTAGGAGCCACACAGCATTATCCTGCAAGACAGCAGGTTTGGGGTTTCAAAAAAAAGAAAAAATGGGACTGTATAGTCGCTGTAATTGCAGTAGTCGTCACATTCCTGAGCTGAATTTGAAATAGTCACCAAAATGTAGCTGCTTTGTTGTGCGGGTGATGATTAAAAGACACTGCTGCCAGCTGACTACTCCTTATAATTTGAGGGTCTATTTCTGGGGGTGCTGATAGATCAAAAAAATAAGAGAAGGCATGTCCCAGATGTGGGTGCTGCTCTCCCCCCCACATCCTCCTCCTCTGGCTCCCGCCTTCAAAATGTCTGACAGGGAGGTGGGTGGAGGTGGAGAAGTGTTGTGAGTGAGTGAAGTAGAAATTTGGCAAGTGCCCTCGAAAAGAAGCAGCAGTAGAGGAGATGATTTAGTTCTGGAGAAGCAGTGGAGGAGCTGAAGACACAGAGCTGATCTACTGAGAGTTCATCAGGAGCTGGTTTACGAGGACAAAGTTTTTGTCCAGGATGAAGACTGTTGGGGTTGTTGTGTTGATGATGGGTCTACATCAGATCTCATTTTCTTCTGCTCAGGTAAGTACTGTAGCCGGAAGAAAGTACAATGTTGACTTTTTTGGATTTTTCTAAAAAAAAAAATAAATTAATTAAAATTTAAATTAAAAAAATTAATCTGCGAAATTAAAAGTTCATATTTGGATTGGGATTGAATTTCTCATAAATGACGTCCACACTGAGACAATAAACTGTGGGGACAAGCACACTGTTTCTTCTTTTATGGGTTCAATGGATGGTAAAGCATGGGGAAAAACATATTTGGTCAATTTCACTTCATTAATTTCAGTTATTTAATCAGACAAGTGACTTAGGTACAAATTAGGAGATTAAGATCCATTAAGATGGACATAGATTAATAATATTTGGCAATATCCTAAAAATAATTACAAAGGGATGCAGAAAAATCTAAAACAACAGTTTTTATCTTCCTTGGTCATGAGGTTGCATCAGAGCTGATCTTTAAAATAATTCTTAATAGCTATTTCATTTGTACTTTCACAGTAATTTTCAGTAAAGTTAAATTTCTTTCCTGAAAGTTTTATTCTGATCTTGTAACATAATTTTAGTTTTTAGCCCATAATTAATGACTGATGTCTGTCTTGGCCAGAAGTTACTGGAAAAGAGATGGTTAATCCCAACAGGGCTTTCCTGAGTAAAATAAAAGCTAAATGAAGCTAAGAACTGTATATTTTTAAGAGATTCACAAAAGACACATTTTTTATTTGACTTTTATCTAACCAGTAGTAGTAGTATTCTGAAAAATTCTAGGAATTTGTTTTCATGAATTATGGAAAAAAACACTGTCAACAAACAAGAGCAGGTTGAGCAGGCGACCCACGTATGCAGCAGCCGGGGTTTGAGTCCAAACCACGGCTGTTGGCTGCACGTCCTTCCCCACTCTTCTCCCTAACTGTCCTGTCTCCCTCTCCACTTAACAATGCAATAAAGAAAAGTAAATAAAGTTTCTTCAAATTTGCAGTTCAAGCCTAAATAAATGAAATGAGATGAAATAGGGAGTCTCCTTGTTTTCCCCGTGCAGCGTGGTTTCTCTCTGGGTTCTCCAGCTTCCTCCCACACAGTCCAGAAACATGTTGAGGTTAATTGGTGATTCTAAATTTTCTGTAGGTGTGAATGTGAGTGTGCTTGGTTGTCTGTCTCTAAGTGCAGCCCTGTGATAGACTGGTTACCTGTCCAGGTGAACCTGCCTTCCCCTTGAGTCAGCTGGGACAGACTCCAGCCCCCCACGACCGTGGTGAGGATAAAGCGGTGTATGGATGGATAATGAATAGATAAATGAAATGAATTTTTTAAGGAGTATTGGGTCTGTTTGGATCTTCTTAGTCTTTCCAGCTTTACATGGTTTCGTAACACAATATTGCCATCAGTATTTTTCTCTTTTGCTACTGAAATGCCTCCAAACACGGAAAACCTACAGCCAGAGGTTCATTGTGGGCAGCAGCATTGTGTTGTGTTGCAGCCGTCAGTTTGAGGTCAGCGGCAGGCTCTGGTCCAGTTTTCACCCAGACGTTACTGCAGCTCTGAAAACCTCACCCCTATGTAGAGACCTCACACCTGAAGCACACAGCAGACAGACTAAGGACTAAGTCAGTTGTCTGGTGTAGTACTCTGCATGTCAGGGATAATACACAAGGCTCTGAGTGTAGTGTTACTGTTCGGACTTTTTGAAAACTTTGGGCTTAAATTGTGATTTGTTTTTAAAGTTGCACTAATGACTATTTTTATATTGTCAGTGGATGACAGTCGTATATTGCATTGAAAGGAGTTGCGTGAAAAGCTGAAGCCACAGATATATCATCCCAGATGAGCTCTTTAGCTTCTTTTAAAGCTGCCTGTTTGGCTGGTCTGGGCCAAAACTTTTCTCACAATACCTGGGGCTTTCTGCACAGAACTCATTTATGAGTACTACCCACTGTACTCACAAATGACCAGCAATACCAGTATCCTGCTTCACAGCAAGCTCAACAGTTCGGCCTCATGCTATGCAAGTAATTTCATTTTTTTAGATGCTAAAAGTCCCAAACTTAACACGAAATGAGATGATTTCATGTTGCAAGTCACAGTTGTGTTTTTGCCCTGCTGTCATGCTCTCCAGCAGCAGCAGTGTCCTCTAACCTCTCCTCCTCCCTCCCACAGGACTGCCCGTCCACTCATGATCTCCTGAACTCGCTGCGACAGGTGGAGAAGATGTTAGCAGTACACGAGGCATCTTACCAGCAGGGCCTGCGCTCCCTCAAAAAGAAGATAAGTGCTCTGCACAACAGCACCATGGTCATCTTTAAAAGCGGCAAAAACGGTGAGCGATGACACTTTGTCCTGCCATAGGGCCCGTTAGCAGGAGAAGGTGCAAGTGCAGTGAACAATAAGGAGGAAAAGCTGGTGACAACATTTCTGACCTACTCATCAGTTTGTGCTCCTGCAGTAACAGGTGAAAGATCACAATTTGATGAGGCTGTTGTCAAGATTTGTACCATCCTTGAACTAACACTGGTGCTATTGTCCTAAAAAGAAACTTCCTGAGCTCCAACTAAACAATCTGTGCTTTGTGTGTTTACATCTGTCTGACGATGTATTTTTTGCTCAATTACTGGATACAAGTGTCTGCTAGAATTTGTGCAAAAAGAAATAGTGTCAGACGATCTGTATTTAATTCATTGTTTGATTTAAAATGAAATATCTGACACTGACTTCTGGTTGTGGCGTGCTTGTGAGAAGACGCATGAACCTGGCTCATCAAGATTCCTGCAAGAACTTTCTTAAAGACGGCAGAAATCAATATTATTTCGCATTAGAAACTTTGGGAAAAACTGAAACGACTATGCCGTCTAAAAACTAGAAACTTGGCCAAATATCATTTAAAGCAATGGCGCAAACCAACATGGCTAACACTGCGGCTAATGATGCTAACTGTTGCGCTGCTGACCTGACTACTGCTCTGGATAAGAGGGACACCACGGCCACTCCTACCAACAACGATAAACTCAGGGCAATTCAGCTGCTAAAAGAAGATTTTGTGAAAAAAATTTACTGACATGCTGGAAGCTGTTAACGATATTAAGGGAGACTTGGTGTCACAATCGGGGAGAATCCAGGAGACTGAGGAAGATGTGTTTGCCCTCCTAGAAAAGGTTAAACTAGAACACATGGTGGAGATATTGAAGGATAAAGTCCAAGACGAAGAAGATAGAAATAGGTGCTCAAATTTGAGACAAGTCCGTCTCCCTGAAAAGGCCGACAGCTCCGATCTCTGCAGTTTTCTGGAGGACTAGCTTCCAAAAGCTCTGTGCGACACGTTTACTGCAGCTCCAGTCATCGAGTGGGCACAGAGGATAGGTCAAGTTAACCTGAACCAGCCCCCCGAGCCCAGGACAGTCCTCATGAAGTTTCCGAACTACAAGGATCAAGAAAAGACACTGAGGGCAGCCAGCAGAATGAAAAATATGGAAACCAATGCGTAAGCCTCTTCCCGGACCTGATGGCTGAGACCCGGTAGCACCAAGGACTCTTCAATGGAGTGAAAACCCAGCTCCAGGCCAGGGGCCTCATTTATCATCAGTGCGTACACACAGATGTGTATGTAGAGAGTGTTTATGAACATTCCTATGCAAAGTATGGAATTTATCAACTTGTACTTATACTTAGGAATGTGCGTAAACATAAGCACACCTCTGACCATGCGTACACACATAATCTAGTGGTAGAATAGTGAAACTACAAATAGAAAGCATTCAGGGATTTTGACCACCGGCACATTCCAGCGTGAGGTTGGAGATATGCAGCGTTTCCAGCCACCACTGAGCAGGATCATACCAGCAGTGTTGGATGCCATAACTCCCCTGTCCCCAGCCTACATCCAGTTCCCTTACAGTCATCACCAATGAGCCCAAATCAAACAGGGACTTAACGCCATCGCTGGATTCCCAAACATAAGTGGAGCCATAGACTGCACCCACATCGCATTCAAAGCACCATCACTAAATGAATTTAATTATGTAAATAGACAAGGGTTTTTTATAGTCAACGTACAAATAATTTGCGATGCACATTTGTGGCTATCAAACGTTGTTGCCCGGTGGCCTGGAGGAACACACAACTCATTCATTTAGCAGAACAGCTCTGTGGGTGTGTCTCCAAGCATGAGCTGCTGAAGACAGCTGGCTTATTGGTGAGTGTTACAGAGTGTGGAAATGTTTTTGCTGGACTTAGAATAGTTATTATAACACATCTCATCTGTGATCAGGTTTATCCACTGGGTGAACACTGGGTATTCATTTGTCCTCCTCCAGTTGCAGTCATTTCTCTTTTATGGGCTGTGACGCATTTTTTGGCACTGAGCTTAACGTCAAACCGCTTTTAAAAACGTACTCTTTTTTTAAACAAATCTCTCAAGCTATCAAGCTTTTCACCTATCTGGGGGAATCATGATTTCAAACCAGGTAGACAGACACAGGATTTAGATGTTGGAGAGAAAAGGGATTAGTACAATAGAAGACCTGTACAGTGAGGGCACTTTGATGTCTTTTGAACAATTAGTCGATAAATATAATCTGCTTAGGAAACATTTTTTAAAACCTGCAAATAAGAAATTATATAAATACACAAATTAAGTCTACATCAGAACCATTGCTTTCCATTATTGAAAGTATCACAATGAACCATCTTCATAACAAAGGTCTTCTAGCAAAGTTTTCTGATGCATTGTTGGCAAGCTCTAAAGACAACTCTCTATCTCATCTGTCTGCATGGAAAAGCAACCTCCGAACAGAAATATCTGTAGAGGTCTGGGGGGAGACCTGTCTTCTGGCCCAAACCCAAACTATTAACACCAGGTTCAGACTGTTACAGTACAAATGGTTGTTTCGAACATATATTATTCCTGTAAAACTATACAAATTTAATCCTAACATTCCTGGTGATACAGGGATTGTTGTAAGGTTTAAAGTGTATGTTCTTATGATATCACATAAAACAAATATAGTTTGAAAAAAAATTAAAAATCTTGCGTTGACATGTCTTTAGACGTGTTTGACTAGTGAGGTACTAGTGAGGTAGTGTGTGGTAGGTTTGTGCCACTAAAATGAATGTAATCGTGCAAAACAACACAAAATTCATAAAGTCCAGAAGAGGCAAAATATCCACGTATTTCTGTTTAAACCTAAAAAGGCAGTGACAGCTGTGCAGCTTTCAGGCTTAGTGCCAAGACTGTGGTGTGATTTTAGGGTGGTGTTAACTGTCAGTCTCAGACTGTGCTGTGGACGGCTGTTATCTTATTGGTGGCACATTGAAAAGTCACCGCAAACAAGTGGAAACTGAATATGTGCCGGAGCACTCAAAGTATAAATTATAGAGAACATCTTTGGTGGCAGTGTTACAGAGATACTTCCACTGATCATGTGAAGAGCTTTACAGTGCATCCTTCATACATTTCAAAGCTGTAGACCTAATCTTTGAAAGCTGCAAACTGTAGTTCCACGGTGGAGCTTGCATCCTGACATACAGTACTGTGAACATGTTTTAGTCTAGGTCTGGCTCTTCATGTAACCCAGTGTTAGAATAATTCTGTGTTATGATCCAATGATCTTTGTGAAAAGTCTATGAGTTAATGCTGTAAATGTTCATTACCTCTATTGAACCTTGTGAGTGTGAGATAAGGACAAGATGTCCTTAGCGGGTAGTCCAAAACCATGAGAACTGTGCCTATTCTAAACAATTGGAGGAGGTTGTGTTCTGTTTTCTGTTCACTGTCTGTAAGTAAGAACCAATGCTTCATGCTTTTAGTCAGGCACTTGTTCAGACTCTGTACTCTACATGTACAATAAAACTTTGCTTTGACTTGAGAGATGACTGTGAGTGGTGATTCAGAGCAGTTAGGACTCCACTGAAGAATTTTCTTAACACCCAGACTGGCTGCATGATTTTGAGATGTTGGGGCCACATCGTCTGGTACTGAACTCCTGTTCTTCTTGTGGATGAAGATAGTTTTGTGTAACTCTGGCTGTAGCTCGTTGTCCTGCTGCAGAATGACAGACACCTCCATGAGGACTTTGGCCTGCTGAACAGATAACAATCTGGACATCTGAAGTGCTGGTTGACACGATATTTAGATTCTGTGGATACAGAAAATAGAGCAGTGTTCAACTGTAAGTAGATGAGACAGATTTAAAGGCACAACAGAAAATTATAATCCGATGAATGTATAGAACAAAACTGCAGCCATCAGATAACGACTTCAAATGAATAAATAAACAGAAAGTCCCGCAGGTTGAGGACATCATCTCAGATTATAAATGAACCTTCCTCTGTCTGCTCACAGCCTCCTGCCCCAAACCAGAACCCCCCACTCATGGTCGCAGACTGGGCAGGGTGTTCGGTATCGGACATGAGGTCCACTTCCTGTGCAAACCCGGCTACGAGCTGATTGGCCCTCGCACCCGAGTGTGTCTGGAGTCTGGGAAGTGGAGCGGCCAGCAGCCCATGTGTAGACGTGAGTCACACATTCAGGTACAATTCAAGAACAATCCTGATACTGGTTCAGCATTTTTCACTTCTCCTTTTCATACCTTCAGGCCTCAACATCACCACCAACTCCTTCTCTCCTGTTGCTCCCTCCTCGTCTTCCTCCTCCTCCTCCTCTTTCCATGCCTCTGCAGCTCTGTCAGCATCCTCCTCCTCCTCCTCCTCCTCCTCCTCTTCCTCTTCCTCCTCCTCTTCTTCCTCAGCATCTTCATATTCTCCCTACCTCTCTTCATCACCCACGTCATCCTCTCCCTCCTCCTCCTCTGTCCGACCCTCTCACTGCACACACTTTCTGGGCTCCACCCGCTGCACCTGTGATGTGGGTTTCACCATATCAGGCCGTGACAACAACATCTGCACAGGTAATAAATATTTCTTACCAATAACAGATTTTTTTAACCAACTTATACTACCAATAAGTCTGCTACTACTGAATAGAATAGAATAGAATAGAATGCCCTTATTGTCGCTGTATTTTATACAGTGATATTAGGAGCACTGCTCCGGTTGGTGTATTGTAAGACAAAATGTACAAAAAGAGAATATACAATAATACAAGGTATTTTACAAATATACTTAGAAATAAATATTCAAAAGTTCCAATTATAAATATCAGGAGATACATTTTTGGTTTTTTTGTGTTTTTTTCCACACTGATGAACATTATTGCCCAGCTATGTCACATTGGTAAGGTTTATTGCATACATATTTTAGTGTATTTATGGGGATCAGCTGTGGTTATGTCTTCTGTTTGTGACTGTTTACTATGGTGACAGCTCTGGGAAACAAACTGTCTCTGAGACTGTTTATACGGGCTCAGAGGACCTGTCGCACCTGCCAGAGGGCAACAGGTGAAGCGTGTTCGGGGTGGGAAGAGTTGTGAGTTAAAGTTGTGACCATTACTGCTATGTTAGATTTGATGGTACAGAACATTTAGGATTTTAGACAACTTAATATTTGATGTAAAGCAGAGCAGAGAAATAACTGTCCTGTGTTTCGCATATGGCCAACCTAAGTCTGTGTGCCTTCTGATGACGTTTGCTCTTCAGTCACAGTTCAGAGCGAGTTATGCATCTGTATTCTGGACTAACTGTAGTTTGTCCAAAACTTTATTTGAAGCAACAACCACATTGTGGGACAGTATTTCAAATATGTAGGATCTTATGTTTGACAAATTTAAGGCATGCATTGCTGTGATAAAAATGTTGCACATCTTCCAATACCTGCCAGACCTGCCTCCATAACTCCCACAGTTTCTCCAATCTGTTTTGGTCACTTTAATCTGATTGAATTAAAGATGAATCAACTAATTGTTGCAGCTCTGTGTTTCAGATATCGATGAGTGTCATCTGTTCCCTCTGAGTCAGCCCGGTCGGCTCTGCGTTCATCAGTGTGTAAACACACCTGGAAGCTTTCACTGCTTCTGTCCAGACGGCTACGACCTGGCCCAAGGTGGCCGCAGCTGCACAGGTCAGAGGTTGTCCTGTCAAGTAAGGAATGTCTACAGATGTGTGAACTCATAGCTGAAACTCTCACATCTGATTTTCATGTTCAGACATCAACGAGTGTGAAAACCAGATGCATAACTGCACAGCAGACCAGGTGTGTGTGAACACTTTCGGAGGTTTTCAGTGTGTGGCAGTGGAGTGTCCTCAGGTGAAAAATGCCACATACATCAAGACGTCACCAATGTAAGAGTATATATCTCCCAGCTTAATATCCTGTCTCCTCAAATTTCCATCTCTCTAATCACAGTTTTTCTCGAAGCATTTCTTTCTGACCTTCTATATCACATTTGTGTCATTGTTGTACACAGATCTGTAGGGTGTCAGTCATTCTGTGACAAGTTGAAAGAACTCTCTGAAATCTCTTTTTTTGCAACCATTTAAACTAGTCTTGATCCAGGATTGAACCTGACCTGGACAGACATTTCAGGCTAATAGAACTTCTTGTGAAACTGCACACAAATTACAAACAAATTTTAATCCATCAGGGTTTGATATTTGCAAAACTTTTTAAGAGGTGAGAAAAGTGATTATTTTATTTATGAGGTCATCGCAACATAAAGCCCATGGCCATCAGTGGCACAATTTAGAGTCGTGGGGCGGCCAGCCTCATTTGTAAGGGCAGGTTGTTCACTAGTTATAAAATTGGCGGATCCATCCTCCCAAGTGTCTAAGTGTCCTTGGGCAAGACACTGAAGCCCAAGTTTGTATGGCGCCTTCCACTGTAGCTCTGCCATGGTCGATGTGTGAGTGTCTGTGTGAATGGGTCAATGAAAAACACATTGTAAAAGCATTTTGTTGAATCTCGCTAAGGTTTAAAGGCATGATAGAAGTGTGGACCCTTTTATCTAAGAAAGCATAGAATCTAGCAAATGTTCTAGCTTGTGGATGCAGTGAGGAGTTTTCATCAATACAAATGAACTGGCGTCATTTTGGAGTCCATTTGTTGACAGGCATCTTTCATGTAATGTTCAATGGCCCCAAAAAACTATTTCAACACAATCAGTGCAAACAACAACAAAAAACCTTTGACTGTACATAAGGATGGACAAACCTTCAGGCTCTAAACTTGTTTATTTCTGCAGTAAAGTTGCAGCTCTATGAGGATACACTCACCTTCAGAGCTAGCCTAAAGTGGACATTCCAGGAACTGCAATTTTTTCAATTCTGCATTGGTTTTATTTTTCATCCCTGGAGCCTTTCCCAGCTGACATAGAGAGACAAGGGGTATGCCCAGGTTTTTAGTTCATCGCATTGAGAGAAAGACTCACCCTCACCCTCTCCTGAATTTAGAATCACCAGTTAACTGACATGCAGGTACAGAGGCAGCACAGCGTGCACATTCCACTGAGAAAGGATTCGGTTGACCAACAGGTTCAAACCTAGAACCTTCTTGCTGTGAAGAGACACTGCTAACCAGTGCTTTAAGTGTAGGACCAATTCAGATTTATGTCTGACATTTGTGCAAGATCAGAAAATCAGATAATCACTACGATTAATCTTAAGGAGAGTCGACAGCTATGGACAGATACAAAAGATTGACTCTAAAGTCATCTATTGAGCCTGAAAACACTGTTAGCGGCATAACTAACCATCAGCTGATAGACTAACTGCCTTAAAATAAACTACAATGAAATCCAGAGCACAATGGAAACAGCAAACTAAGTAAGTGGAGAAAAGAGAAAGAATGCAAACAGGGCTGAAGAAAATGACTGAGATAAAATGTCAATGATAGGAGAGAGATTTGAAAACAATGAGTTGAATCTCCTGTCAACCACTTCCCTTTTCCACCCATCATTTAGCATCCCTCATCCAACAGAAACTGGGCTGAGAGTCAGATTGAGGTTTGGCCTCAGACAAACTGCTGAGTTTTGATTTATTCCTGCTGCTGAATCATAATTGTATGCTACAGTAATGCAGGGAGGAGGGGATCTCTGCCAAAAGCAGTGTTAGGTTCAGGGTTTTGTAATATGTTTAATCTGCTAGAGAAGATTTACTGTGACCTCAGGTCGAAATAATATTTGGAAGGTTTATAAGTTTAAAGGTTTCCTAACCAATGTAAAGGCACTTCAACATTTAGGGCCGCAACAAGTGGCAGCAATGTGAAAAATGAAGTGAGTTGGGAGCTGGAAATTGATTGCTCGTCAATTTTTATTTGACTACTAGTTTTTCTTTAGATGGAAATGTCATATAACAAAATATGGCAAGACATTGTGTTAGTAATTGATCACAAATATTGTCCAAAATTAATAATATCCATTGAAATTGAAATAAATATTTGAGGAAATGCAGTTTCTGTAGCATTCTAAATGGTCCTGGTCATTTCTAACATGTTATAGCTTTCTAACTAGGCAGGTCTAATATTTTGCCAGTACCCGATATGCCAATATTGTCCAACTCTCAATCTCCGATTCCAATATCAACCGATACCGATATCGATATGTGTGGGCTATTTAACTAATTTTACGTAACATCTGGGGCTGGTCTGAATAGCAGTCATTGGGCCCCAGATATTCGGGCCTAATTAACAACAAATATAGCAAAATATTATTCATTTATTTATATTATTCATTTCTTTATTTATCAACACAGTAAAGGACATTTAAACAAACTCAAATACAAATTAAATACTAAAATGACAAATTTACATAATGAATTATATTGAATATATATATATATATATATGTACAGTCGTGACTTGACATTCGGATTCTGACTCTGACATGACATTTTATGTCACAAATAAGGATAACGGCGTATTATCTGATTTAACAAATATATTGGCTATGTTCAGACTGCAGGACTTAATGCTCAATTCAGGTTTTTTTTGGAAATCCGATTTTTTTGCGAGTTCGTTCACATTTCCAATAAATGCAACTTGTATGTGATCTCCTGTGTGAACTTCATACGACCCAAAAGTGTGCAGTGTGCATGCACAGAAGAGGACCTGCGTCTTGACAATCCAACAGCCGTGCTATCTGACATAAAAGAAGGTTTTACATTTAGTGTCGGATTATCGAGTCACGACTGCACATATAATATAGCTCTGTTGCCATTGGTGCATGAATGTACGTGTGAATGTACTGCAAATGTATTGTAGAACACTTTGAGTACCACTTAGGTAGAAAGGCACTACGTAAGTACAGACCATTTATCATCACTGACTAAGAGCTGCACACAATGGGGGGAAAGTCTATAAAGCCATATACGAGAAAGGGGAGGCATTCATATTCTAGAAAACCATTCCCTGGTGAAACATGGTGTGGGAATGTAGTGCTTTGGGATGTTTTTCAGCCAATGGGCCAGGAAAATAAATAACATGATGAGACAAGAGGACTACATTAAAAGATATGTCTCTGGAGAACTACAGTTATTCAATCCAAATCTCTTCAATTAGACAGAAGACAGGAGGTGCATGAGGAGGAGGAAGAATACATGAACACATTCCAGCTATCTGGACCACAACCACAACTTGTTTGGACATGTAAAGGAGGTTTTTGACCTAAGGCTGACCTCAGACCCATTATGTTGTTTTGCTAGAGACTACAATCCATGAGATAACCATCAAGTGCAGTTTTATATGGTGGGCGGCATTAGTGGGTTGCAGCTAACCACATTGGATTGGACATGTCTCTGAGTGCAACATGACTCATCAAAAATAACAAACCTCTCACAAGAAGTGAAAAGAATGATACAAACATCAGACTCCCATGGTTAGCATCACTGCGAAGCTCAGGAGGTGACATGGAGAGAGAAACATTCTTGACACAAGGAAATAATTTATGCTCTCTAACAATGCGTACTCTATTCATGTCACCACTCTTGTCTTTATGTTCCCACTCACAGTTTCATTGATCTTCAGTTGATATATGAAGTGGAACACAATACTTTGTTATCTAGTTTTGTAGATCCCTCAGACAGCATACACCGAGATCTGTGTATATTTGGACACTAACACAATTTTTTTTGTTATTTTCGCTGTTTACCAAAACATGTTAAAGTTATAGTCATATAATGAATCAGGACTTAAAGTGCAGACTCAGCTTTAAATTTAAGGTTTTCACATATGAATTGGAGGAAGAGTTTAGGAATCCCAGCTCTTTAATATGGAGCCCCCTCTTTTTCAAAGGACCAAAAGTAATTGGACAATTGTCTTAAAAGCTATTTCTCCTTTCATCAAAGCAGCTCTCAGTGAAAGTGAAACAGGCCATCCTTAACTAAAGCTAAAACAGTCTATAGGAGATAGGGAGTAAACAATGTCCCTTCACAGCTAGAAGATATACCCGGGATCTTTCTGCGTGGAGTCTCCATGTTCTCCCGGTGCAGCGTGGGTTCTCTCCGGGTTCTCCAGCTTCCTCCCACAGTCCAAAAACATGTTGAATGTTGAGGTTAATTAGTGATTCTAAACTGTCCGTAGGTGTGAATGTGAGTGTGCTTGGTTGGCAGGTTCACCTGGACAGGTAACCAGTCTATCACAGGGCTACACTTAGAGACAGACAACCAAACACACTCAATTTAGAATCACCAATTAACCTCAGCATGTCTCTGGACTGTGGGAGGAAGCCGGAGAACCTGGAGAGAACCCACGCTGCACGGGGAGAACATAGAGAATCCACGCAGAAAGATCCCAGGTGTCCTCACTGGGACGTGAAATGGCGACCTTCTAGCTATGAGGCAACGGCGCTAGCCATCAAACCACATGGCAGCCCCTGATCCAAACATTCAAATTTTTATCATATAGATTCCTGTAGAAAAGGAGATTTAGAAAACCTTAACACAAAGACAGTGGGAAGGGAGGAGAAAGCCACATGAAATGTGTGAAAGAAAAGGCAGGCTTGTACCTGAAGTCTACATCACATAAGTCAGACTAGCAGAAATCACAGACAATATTATAAAAGTTTACTTATTAGAAATACTGGAGTTCTGTTAACAAAGCCTCAATCGGAAGTGAGTGAACTGAATCCTAAAGTAACCCTGTTGGTGTTTCTTCAGGCGCTGTGAGAGGAACCCGTGCATGATGGGAGACATGGCCTGCATTCAAGCACCAAGCTCCATCTCCTTCCATTTCCTGTCTGTGGTGTCCAACATGTCTGCACCTCGCGTCCTTTTCCGGGTGTCTGCGGCTCGTGTTCTGGGTGACACGCTGCGATTTGGCCTGGCGGGTGGTCATGGGCGGGGTCACTTTAGCGTGCAGCGCTCGGGCCGGCAGACCGGCACCCTCCTCCTGGTGACACCTATCAAGGGTCCAGCTAATCTGGAGGCCGAAGTGGAGATGAGCGAGCTGGAACGCAACACTCTGCTGGGCCGCTACCTCACCAAGGTCACCCTGTTTGTCTCTCCATATGAGTTTTAGTGGGGAGGGTTAAGAAGTGGGTGGGGGTTCAAACTTCACCAGGATTAGCCAGGGTTTGTTTAGCCAGTTTACCTTGTAAGGAGCAATTTAGTCTAACTGAAATCAAAGAAGTCACCTCCTTTATTAATTAAAAAAACATTTAAAAAAATTATCAAATGAGTTTTAAATGTTTAACGTGTACTGTTATGGAAAACGTCCAGTCACAGCAGACAGAGGCACTCAATCCAACATCTTCATCAAAGGTATCATGACAGTGGCTTTGTGAGCTGAAGTACTATGCAGACAATATACTAGCTTGCTTATTGCCTAACCAGCGTGGTCACACAGTTCAGTCGAAACCACCCTACAGACTACCTGAATGAGCTACCAGGCTGCCATAGCTTCTTCTGCTTGCTGTCAAACAGCTGCAACTTCATGTGTCAAGTTCACCACAGTCGAGCTGGACCGTGCAAGATTTACTTAAGTACTACAACCAAATCAACTAAATGCTACGAGCTCACTGAAATAAACTCAGCTTGCTACAAATTTTCATTCATTCATTGTTAAATGCTGTCACTGAACCATCAGCTACTAGGCTCTGAGTCTGCAGCAGACCGCTAGGTTTGGTGACGACTCAACATAAACTTAAGATGGAAAATATGAACGACTTTGTTCAGTGATTTTGTGCATTTCTTTCATTTTGGTGAAGTGATGGGAACACTACTCACGCAGCTCCAAATGTACATCAGTTGGTGAGACATTGTGATCCAAAGTCACGTTAGTTTGTACTGAAGTGAACACAAATTGATGTTGACCTCAAAATCAATCTGTCCTCCCGTCAGGAGCTCATTCACTCTGTCCTAGTCGAAGCTGTTGCATTCAGTTCAGCACAAAACCAGCCGACACAACGTGTAAAGTTAACAGCTCAGCAGCTTATTATTGAAAACTGAGATGTCGATTATCTCAGTGTCTGTGGATTTTGTGGTCTTTTAAGATACTTTTAACAAGGAACTATTGTGAATTACAGCTGACTTGATGGCAGTGGTCTCAGGGCTCTTAGAAATGTGTCACTTCATTTAATGAACACCTCTACAGCTCATGGACCAGCTCAAGCATAACTTCATTTGCATAGCACTCACAGAAAAATTGATATTTGTGTTCAACTATAAATCTCACTTTTGTTGCTTTTTTTTTTGCATGATACTTTGTTTTGTGTTGTTTTTTTTCTCTGAGCAGTCCACAGGAAATGGGATTAATAGAGACCCAGGCCATGCTACAGCACAAAAATCATGGAATTCAATTTCAGTTAGACTTGAAAATGTACAAATAGTGTCGATTGTGGACCCAAAATATGCATTCTGACTTTTGCAATGACGTCATTTGTTGAATTCTCCATAACCTGTACACACCATCAGGCTTTAACTGTGGCAGGAGGGGGTTTACCAAGGTGAGATTTCTGTGCAAAAAAACAAAAGTATGTCAAAAAATAAAACATGGTCAGACCAGGGAATTGATATTATAATGCTGATTCTTTAAAATAAATGTAAAAAATGAACAGATGTCTGACTGTACAGATGAAGAGGTTTATGTGCAGGATGAAGAATCTTATTGCAAGTTTCTAGGTTTAAAGAAGGAAGAGTTGGGGGGTGAAACCACTGAGTGCTTTTGGCTTCTTTGTAGGTGACTTAATCTGTTGAACTTCTTCTTTTCTGCGTGAATTCTGTACATAATATAGTTAAGTTCAAGTAGACCAAAGATATCTAGTGTTAGTACAGAGCAGTGCTTCTTCCATTGGTCAAGAGAACAGCTGATCTGCAGTTTTAATCATAGGAGCAGCATGACAGCAAGTCAAACAGCAACCTAATGTACAAACTCAGACTAAAGAAACGAGATGTGTTTTCATTATTTTCACTGTCACTTTAATGTATGTAAGCTCACTGCATCAAAAAGAGATCAAGAAATTTAGAAACTTTAATTTAATGACTCTCTCTTTCACAAGCTTATGATAAACAGTCTTATCATACAGTCCTGATCTCACAAGCATGATAAAACTATCTCATAATGACAAGACAATGTACGATAGGTTAAATGGGCCATAACTGAAACACGTAAGAACTTACCTGAGCATCATCAGGTTTTCAAGATGCATTCACTATCAAAGTATCCTGTGATATGTGCAGTACATCCTACGCTGCACAGCAAAAAGAAACTGTTAACAGCTAATTCGGCAGACTCCATTTATCTCCATTTCGCCTTAAAGCAGTGCTCTTATTGCAGCCCACACTAAATCTCTGTTCCACTCCCTGTCCAATTACACGATTCTACGTGGTGAATGCAATACATGTCTGCACATTACCTGACAGATGATCTTGGTTTTAATGGATATTTTGTCACCTTTAAAATCCACACCTTTAAAAGTAAAAAACAGTGAAGAGGTTGTCCCAGTTTGTGCCCCTTATGTATTATCATCACATTCAAGTCAACGCTACACATCTATTCAAGTATTGTAGGAAGATTGGTAAAAGATCATTTTAGACACCTGTCATGCTCGGGAAATTAAAAACAGTCCCAACTTGACAAACAGGCACTCTAAAACACTTTTCAACAGGTATATTTTTTTGTGATCCAAACAATTGAAAAAATCTATTCTTTTCTGGGAATGCTTTCCAAATAACAACAAATGTGTTGTTTTTTTTGAAAAAGGAGTTAGATCTGTAGCTTGAATGTGTTGATGATGATGACTTATGGGAGGCACAAACTGCGGCTATGAATGAGTCAGTATATTTGCCATTTCTTTCTTAAAACTGTAATATTTTTGCTGATATTCTGTTAGTGTACTTCAGTCGTGTATTTACATTTGTATTCGGATTATATTGCTAAACGTTTTCTGTTCAGCACAGAATAAACATGTTTCTCCCAACATTGTGCCAATTACAGGTCTGACGTCTGTTCTGTAAAGCTGTAAATCATCCTGTAAAGTATTTTGGGATGTTTGGCGACATTCAATTGGGAAACTGTAGTTTTGCTCAGTGGAAACTGAGCTTGACATGTTTTGGTCTCGGGGACTGAGGAATTTAACACAGATATGTCAGTCTGCCTGAGGCCTTCACTGGCCAGACAGAACACACACATAAAAACAGACAACACAAACGCAGACATACAGTCATGCATGACTGTCGACACATTCTCACACATGCGGACAGAAAACACACATGTATGAAGACCACACAGTGGCAAGCACAGAGATGTAATGTGAGGTCAGCTTTGTTCACAGCTACAGATAAAGATATTACCATCAGGAGAATTTCACCACTTCAACAAAGATCGTAGAAAGTTCAGGATATAGGAGTCAGTGGACACTTCAGACTGCCATGACAAACATGGTCTTCATAAGTGTATGTAAACCATTGTTCTTGACTGTAGGGGATGTGTGGTGCAAGACTTATACAAAAACACTTTCATGTTGATTTCTTTGGGACTGTAACAATTTTTTCTAGTGTAGCAAATCTCATGACAAGAAAACAAAACCAACAATGTATTTTTTTTTCTCAGTATTTCATGAGATAATCTCGACTGTCTGTGGCTCCTGGGTTCATATGGAAGACATGCATCTTTAAAAACACCTCACAGATATATAGGTCTAGGTGCACAGATCACAGGCCTCTCTAAGCCCATCTGCTGTCTGGGCTCATGGACTGTGGCTGCACCAGTTATCAAAGAGCTGGCTGAGCTAGACTGTATGGAGTACAAGGTGTATTTTCAGCACCTCAGCTACAAGTAAAGCTCCAACACACTGAACTGTGATGTACTGCATCCTTTTATAAATGTTGTGCATAACAATAAATACTGTAATAACATTTGATGTTGTGTTGTGCATCATAGTGTACAGGCTGTCACTGGTTCAGTGTCAGAACTCCCACAAAGGAAAAGCACAGTACTTCATCAGAGACAAATTTTTAGTACAGTATGCTAGACATAGCATTCAATTCAGTGAAAGTATGCAACTGGAGAATAGAAAGATAAAATTGTGCTATAAAGAAAAGCATGCAGCAAGAAAAAGAAGAAAGTGGCCCTGAAAAAGTGAAAAAGTGAAAAAGGCATTTCATAGTTAACTCCATGAGCAACGAAGTGACCGTTGTGAAGGAGCTTTCCCCTTCAGCCTTGAAGACACTTTGTCAAAACCTGGAGGACAAACACTTGACTGAAGCTTGGCACTGAACAGGAAATGAGGAAAAATGGCAGTGCTCAGCCGCCAGCTCTAGATACAGAGACCTGAGGGCCGAGGCAGAGGACAACGCAGGTGAGACTGTTAAAACTGCAGATGAACTTCTGCAGGAACTGGAGCAGATGCAAAGTGGTTCACATGCACTCCCAGTTACCACCCAGGTACTCAAGACTAAGATTAAAAGAGGGTGGAGGAGGACGCCCCGGTAACTCAACCAGATAAGACGGCGACCCATGGACAGAGGCTATACAGTTGTGCTCATAACTTTACATACCCTGGCGCAGAATTTGTGGTTTTTTTGGCCATTTTTCAGAGAATATGAATAAGAGAAAAACTTTTCTTCCACTCATGGTTAGCGGTTGGATGAAGCCATTTATTGTCAAACAACTGTGTTTACTCTTTTTAAATCATTATGACAACAGAATCTCCCCAAATGACCCTGATCAAAAGTTTACAAACCGAAAGTTCTTAATGCTGTGTATTGCCCCCTTTGACATCAATGACAGCTTGAAGTCTTTTGTGGTAGATGTGGATGAGGCTCTACATTTTTTCAGATGGTAAAGCTGCCCATTCTTCTTGGCAAAAAGCCTCCAGTTCCTGTAAATTCCTGGCATGTCTTGCATGAACTGCATGTTTGAGATCTCCCCAAAGTGGCTCAATGATATTGAGGTCAGGAGACTGAGATGGCCACTCCAGAACCTTCACTTTATTCTGCTGTAGCCAATGACAGGTCGACTTGGTCTCGTGTTTTGGATCGTTGTCATGTTGGAACGTTCAAGTACGTCCCATGCGCAGCTTCCGGGCCGAGTACAAATTTTCCTCCAGTATTTTCCGGTGGCATGCTGCATTCATCTTGCCATCAATTTTGACCAAGTTTCCTGTGCCTTTGTAGCTCACACATCCCCAAAACATCAGCGATCCACCTCCGTGTTTCACAGTATGAATGGTGTACTGTTCATCACAGGCCTTGTCGACTCCTCTCCAAATATAACGTACATGGTTGTGGCCAAAAAGTTCAATTTTGGTCGCATCACTCCAAATGACTTTGTTCCAGAAGTTTTGAGGCTTGTCTCTGTGCTGTTTGGCGTATTGTAAGCGGGATTCTTTGTTGCATTTGCGCAGTAATGGCTTTCTTCTGGTGACAGCCCATTTTTCTTCAAGTGCCTCCTTATTGTGCATCTTGAAACAGCCACGCCACTTTTTTTCCAGAGTCCTATGTTTCAGCTGAAGTTTTTTGTGGGTTTTTCTTTGCATCCCAAACAATTGTCCTGGCAGCTGTGGCTGAAATTTTTGTTGGTCTACCTGACCGTGGTTTGGTTTCAACAGAATCCCTCATTTTCCAATTCTTAATTAGAGTTTGAACACTGCTGATTGGCATTCTCAATTCCTTGGATATCTTTTTATATCCCTTTCCTGTTTTATACAGTTCAATTGCCTTTTCCGAAGATCCTTTGACAATTCTTTTGCTTTCCGCATGACTCAGAATCCAGAAACGTCAGTGCAGCACTGGATGAAAGATGCAAGGGTCTGTCAGGAGCCCAGAACCTCACTGACCTTTTATACACACACACTGATTACAAGCAAACAGCTCACAGGTGAAGATAGTTACCTTTTGTAGCCAGTCAAATCTGTTTGTGTCAACTTGTGCAAATGTTATCAGGCCAAAATCATCAGGGTATGTAAGATTTTGATCAGGGTCATTTGGGTAGTTTCTGTTGTCATTATGATTTAAAAAGAGTAAACACAGTTGTTGGACAATAAATGGCTTCATCTAACCACTAACCATGAGTGGAATAAAGTTTTTCTCTTATCATTCATATTCTCTGAAAATGGCCCAAAAAAATCACAAATTCTGCCAGGGTATGTAAACTTATGAGCACAAGTGTAGTTCCCCAACACAGCGGTCGTGGGTTCGACTCCCGCTCACAACCCTTACCTCCAGGTCTCTCCACATCCTGCTTCCCTCTTCCTGTCTATGTCTACTGCTCTGAATAAAGGCAAAAAGCCCAAACTGAGTCCCACCCCTAATATATTTATCTCAGGGGTGGGACTCAATTAATGAATCGCATTTTAATCGCATTACAATATTTGCTGCAAGAAACAAAATTTTTCAATTTTTAATGGATTTTAGTGTATTACTGAATCAAATGATAGACACATACATCCATTTAAACAAAAAAAATCATTGTTTATTTTGCAACAGAGCATTACTGGTTTTAAATGGTAAACAAATGTCAACCAACAAGTCAACATAAAGTGCCATTTGTACCACGTAAAATGGTCAAACAAAAACAGAAACAGAAATCCCTTTTATACTCATAGTATCCTGAGCAAAAATCTCAGTTGTACTATAACATATAACTTACATAGACAACATAGGCTATAACAGTGTGATCAACATAGTGCAAAAACAGTAAACCCATTGGCCTCACAGTACCTGAAAACCTATTTCTTCTCCCTCTTTTTCAGCCAGTTCGTTTAGGCAAACTAGTCTGTTCACATTTTCAGAGCTCAGTGCAGCTCTCCTCTTTGTTGCTATGGGGCTGCAAGTGACAGCAGCCTGTCACAACGGACAGAATTAGCAGGGCTGGTCAGATACTGTGGGCCAGGACAGACAGCTGTGAGTGGGTCCCTGCTCGACCTGATCACCACTGCAGTGGGCAGTCTGTCTCGCTGATGTCGGGCTCTGCTCTGTACAAGCTCAGAGCCCTGGTACACCACACTTCATCATCTGAATCAGAGTCTGAAGACACTAAAGAAAGAAGGAGACTCTTCTTCTTTGGTGGCTCCTGTGTGGAGTCTGGAGCATCTCTCTTAGATTGTACCTGCAGCAGCGCCTCAAGGCTGGTTCAAACCTCTTCTCGCTCTACCCTTGGTAGACACTATAAATCCCTAAAGCGTGGGTCCAGAACATTAGCCATCTTGAGCCATTCATGGTTGAGTGTAGCTATGCGCTGGGCTAAGTCCTTCACAAAGGCAGTCTTGAGTTTCACCATGTAGGCTGTGTCCTCATCAGAGTCCTCCATGGTGTGACGCAAGTGGCAGAGAGCAGGTAAAACTACTGAACGTGAGACGTTTGTCTCACCTCCGAGGAGCTCAGTCACAAATCTGCAGTGGACACAGACAGTTGAGGAAAGTGATTATTATTATTCTAACTAACTGTCAACTACAAAAGCTTGTCAAAGGAACAGTAACATTAAATCTCATTAATGAAATAGGTTGTTTTTTTTACCTGCATGGTTCAAGGACGGACACCAGCTTTTGCGATTTCACCAGCTCTCTGCAGTCAACATGACCAGCTTGTGCTTCTGTCGGCCTAAAGCTTCAGGAGAGGAGAGATAATGTCCAGTGCTGAATTCCAGCTTGTGGTTACATCCTGTATGAATGGCGCTTTCTTGCCCAAGTCTTATTTGCTCCTGATGTAGTTCTACTGTATTGGCAGGGCTGTGTTTAAAGTGACCCACTATCTTGTGACATTTTGCCAAAGCATCAGTAAACCCACTGTCAGCATGGCTAGCAGTGATGGTTCTTTGCAGTATGTGAGAAATACAAGACATGTGTTGGAATGGGAGGTGTCTTGCTGCAGTCATCATGGTTCGTGCACTGTCTGTTCCAGTTGTGGTGACCTTTTGTTGAACTTCTCAGACCTCTGCCACAGAGACAAACTGCTCAGTGCAGTTTTCCACATAGTGTCTGGTGTTTGTCTTCTGCACAGTCAGAGCAAAAGACTGAAGACGCCATTCCCCGTCTGTGACATCAGTAAAATGTGCAGTGACACTGATGTAATTAGAGTTGCTTACAGAGGTCCAATGGTTCCCAGTCAGAGTCACAAATTCGACTTTCTGCAGTGCATCCAGTGTTGCTTGCTTTTCGGTGTCATAAAGCTGCTGGATTCTGGGAGCTGCAAGGTGGCGCAGCTGGTAGCACTGTTGCCTCGCAGCAAGAAGGTTGCTGGTTTACTGGTCGGGCACCGTGCAGCGTGGGTTCTCCAGCTTCCTCCCACAGTCCAAAAACATGTTGAGGTTAATTGATGATTCTAAATTGTCCGTAGGTGTGAATATGAGTGTGCTTGGTTGTCTGTCTCTAAGTGTAGCCCTGTGATAGACTGGTGACCTGTCCAGGGTGTCCCCTGCCTTCGCCCTAAGTTGGCTGGGATAGGCTCCAGCCCCCCCGCGACCCTAATGAGGATTAAGCGGTGTATAGAAAATGGATGGATGGTTTCTGTAGGGATACAGATTTTGTGAGTATGTTTTTTTTTACGGGCTGTCAAGGTCTGTAATAAATGGAGATCCAAAAGAAAGTTTAGGTCTCGACTCTGAATACACAACGCAGAGAACCGGCTACACCTCCTGTCCAGAGACTATCTGTGGTTGTAAGTTTGGCACCTCATGCAGGGAAGGTAGATGTGAGGGTGTGGGCATGCTGGGAGGACTGGGCTTCACACGCAGCCAGAGATACATAGATGTGTCATTCTTTAGAAAGCTTTAAAGGTCCTGTATGGTCAAAATCCATTATTATTGTGAACTGTGGTTAACCCTAAACTGACCAGCACAGAGCTCTGACCTAAGGTCGACCTCATCACCCCACAGTGCTGGCTGAAAGAGAGCGAGTTCCTGCAGCCAGTCTCCAAAATCTGCTAAGAATGACTAAAAGTGGAAGACAGAGGCTGCTGCAGCAGCACATTAGTGCCTATGGTGCATATGTCCGCCAGGGACATGTGGGTGCAATGTGCAGGTTTCCACATAGTGGCTCGAATAAGGCTGCCAGTGCTGGGCTAATGTTTCTCCAAAAACAAAACAAAAAACAATAGCAGGAAAGATGTTCTTTCATTTTCATACTATAGTCAAAACCACAGGCAACACAAAGGAGACAAGAGGACATCTAAAAACCCTGAAACAATGGAGGGCAGTAATGTAAAGGGTATTGTCTTGTAAATAACAGACTAAACATGCAAAACCTCTGTCGTGTCCTCACAAAACTTATTTATAAACTTGTTTCAGACTCTAAAGGAGGTCTGACTGCACATCTTCTTGTTTCCATACTTATATTTACACTGGAGTGTGCAGAGTTCATGGTGCAGATAGTTGGACCTATTTGCAGATGACAGAAAACCCACATTACCACCACTGTGCTTGTATTTTACTGCCACTGAAGGGTCTTGCTTGAGAATGGCAGCCTGATGTCTGGGTTGAACACCAGTCAGGTTTTTAAGGATTCTGTCAAGATTAAGTTTTGCAAACCAATAAAATATTCAAGAATTGTATCAGAATTAGCTCAAAAGAAGCCTCTTTGCTGAAAACAAAGGATTTTCTGAAAGAGATTTCTGTCAACTTTAAATTTCCATTTGAAATTCCTCCACAGCTTTATTGTTGTAAAATACACCTGCCGAGCTGCCCAACGCAGCCCGAATGATTCTGTACATCAATGTTTGTAGGTGTTTTAAAATACTACACACACGTATATATGAGACAAGTATAAAGCCTTCAGTGTCTCAAGAGGCAGTTGAAATTGTCTTAAGTCTGATTTACAAATTAAGGCCACCTCAAAGTCTGCTGCAACATTCTCAAAGTTTAATCGTAGCAACTGGACTTGCTTGAGGTTTCTTGAAGACGTTTCACCTCTCATCCAAGAGGATTCATCAGTTCTGACTAGTTGGGAGTTCCAGATACTTATATCCATATGGAGCCATCAACACCTGAGTTTCAGTTTCAATTGGGGGTTTGTTGCTCCTCCCCCTCGTTATGCGAGTCGTTAGTACTCCCCCTGCTACAATTAAGGTCTTTTGTGGCTAGGTGTGAATGCAGTCTCATCTTCCTGTGGAGAGATCTTAGGACTGAATTGTTAACTGGTGAGAGGTGATGCCTCAGACCTCCGCCTCTGTTGAGGGATGGTCTCTCCAGTTTGTCATAGATGGCTTCTTTCACTCCTCTCTCAAACCGTCTGTCCTCCCTGACCAAAATCTGTACGTTGTTGTCTTCAAAAGAGTGTCCTTTGTCCTTAAGATGCAGGTGGACTGCTGAGTCCTGTCCTGAGGAGCTGGCTCTTCTGTGCAACACAAGAGCCAGCTCCTAACCAGAGTCCTAACGACTCGCATAATGAGGAGGAGAAGCAACAACCCCCTCAACAACCCCTTTTTGTTGATGATTCCAAACATGCAGGATAACAAATGCCTTGTGAGTAGACAGCTGTGAAATGAACAGGGCTGACAGTGAAATAGAAACCTTGCAGACTTTATTATTATTAACAAACTGTCCAATTTTCATCTGTACAGAACAACAAAAAGAAACCAAAAAGAAATGTGGACAAGGAAAATAATTCAGACAATCAGGAACTCCATGGATTCAGACACAAAACATGTTTTACGAAAGCTCTTTATCATCACAAACTTAAACGTTCCAGTCATCATCACTCTCAACAACAGCAAGGAACCGACCGGAGATCGCACAGCTTCCTGTGGAGTCTGAAATCTGTGGGCAGCACACACACACACACACACACACCATCCATCACACAGCAACACAGTCAAACACACTCATAAGCCCACGTGCTCCTCTGCTGGGTGCTGCAGGGGTTTCTGGGATGTTCTGTACAGTGGGATCCCATGGCGGGACGGTGATTAGGCACGCTTTGATAAAAACCAACATCAGATGGAAAAAAGTGAAGGCAGTTCAATGAATCAGAACGTTTCATTTACAAGCAGGGATGGCGGCGCTCACCACACCAAACTTCAACAATTAGAAAAAACGGAAACGGTACAGGCTGACTGCACGGTACATAGTTTACAGTATGTCATCACTCAGTATAGTACACATGTACACTATCGGCTCGAGCTGGGAGAGGACAGACCCTGGCTTAACGCTTCACTCCGTTGTCTTTATTAAACCAAGACCAAAAAGCTCGATGACAACGAGGCCGCATGAACGCACAATTCAACCAACACCTCAACCGCTTTCCTCCTCCAGCATTGACCTGCAGGGTCACAATGAGACCAACCAGATCCAGAAACAGCACACAAGAGGTTACCTGTTTCATTCACTAACGCATCTTTTCATAGCAGGAAAAGCAGTGACGATGGCGGACGTCCATTTTGGGCTGTAACTTGAAATCTCCTAAATATTTTTCTTGATTCATTATTTGGTCAGTAGAATTTCAGAAAATGTAGAAAAATTATTGTTAAATGCAATCAAATATCTTATTTCACCTGACCAACAGTCGAAATATAATCAGTTTCCTATCACAGAAGACAGAGTCCTCCAGGAACCCGCCTCTACATGACTCCACCTTAATGAATTTTCTGACCTGGAACAGACAAACAGTGCTGTGATGAGTTGCTCTCCTAACATCACCACAGTAATCAAAGTCAGTCTTAGTGGTAAAGAGGCGTTTACAGCACTACAAGACAAATCAGCCAGCAGGTTGGTGCCTGGAGGACTTTGCTGTTCTCTCCCTCTCCTCCGCCTGCTGGAGGGAAGGACTCCTGCTGGAGAAAAGGCAACCAGAGAACATTCAAATCATAGAAAAGAAAAACTTTGACCATTAGTAAACAAATAAATAAGGCTATGAAAAACAATATATATATATTTATAGATATAAAAAAAAAAAGAATGAAAAATGTGCAGTGATTCCAGTATCATCTTTACACAAATGTTCACATCTCTAATAATCTAGAACCATTTTTTGTTTCATTATTCTGTTTTTTCTTGCATTGCTCTCAGCTTTTCCACACCAACTGGCGCAATACCGACGGCCACTCTGAGTTTGTGCAAAGAAAAAAAAAAGCCACTTTGCCCAGTCTGGCTGCTCAGACTGGGATGACGGTGGGTGGAAACCAGTCGGTGCTTCCAGGAAGCGACGGCAATGTAAAAAGCAAATGAGCAGCGTGAGCAGCTGAACTGGAGCAGCCGGTGGCGCAGTGCATTTATGGCACAGGTTGGATAGGAAGCAAAAAATAATCAGAATCATCGACTGCATCAGAGACGAGCTGAGGCTGCAACATATGCGGTTTCAAGAAAAAAATACTAAAAAAAAAAAAAAGACTACTAAAACGTCCACAAATAATTTCCGTTGTAAGAAGAGCTTTGAGCAGGAGTGTGTGTAGTGTGTGTTCCATCTGTGGCTCGGTTGAGGGCTGGCTGGTTGGCACCACCCGCCTGGCAGTCCCATGGCGATAAAGTCGACACATAACAGCAAAAAAAGAGCAACACAACCCTCAAAAACATTTTAGCAGAAGACAAACGAGAAGAATATGGTGGCAGAAAGACAGTTTGGATCGCACACATTCGCTCACACACTCTCATCCCGTCACACACACTTCAGTCGTTAAAATACTAGAGTCATTAAACTGCTCTATACATGAGCGTTCTCCCTATCCCACTTTCTACACATTTACACTCAGTATCATTTCATTCACCACCTTTTCCCCAAAATCCTCACCTGTGACCCATACAACCCCCCCTCTCTTCACACCCTCACCCCACAGCAAAGGAGGAGGCGAAAACAGAAAAAAAGCAGAGTAATACTGCATCTACAACTGCAGGAGGACCCGGTGCTCTGTAGCTCAGGAAGAGAAGGAAAAGGTGAAGAGGAGGCAGCGGTGGGCATGGGAGTCACTGATCATGCCCACTTCCACCTGTGGGATTGTGGGTGTAGACCCCAGCAGCGATGTGACAGAAGGTGAAATGCCTGGAGGGGGAAGGACAAATGAACGGGGCTGAGAAGAGATAAAGTGGTTTAGATTGTCTGGTGGACTTTTGGGGGGGAGGTGGGAATACGCAGGGCTAAATGATGGAGAGGTCCTTTCCAGTGGTGGTTGTTCCTCCTGTGGACATGTCCTGACTCCAGAGTGGGCGGGGTCTACCTGTCCTTCAGCTCCTGAGTGACTCGTTTGGTGAATCTGCCACACAGCAGCCCCATGAGGAAGAGCAGCGCCACGCCTGCACCAATCACAGTCAGGATGTAGTTCTTGGACGGGGATGTCATCACCTGCATGGCCAGGTCCGAGAAACCCTCAGCAGGAGCCACCTGGAGGCAGTCAGAGCCGCACAGAGTCCCATCAGCTGTCATCCCTTAACACTCATTCGCAGCAGTTGTCAAATTTTTTCATCACACTGTTTCCTCTACATTCATTTAGGAGTGGCGGGCCACCATTCCTAAATCCTAGCCGCTATGCCTTCAAATTTCTTTCTTTTTTATTTATTTTTTTTTAAATTGTCATAAATACACCACCGCCGAATGTCTCCACCTTCACAGCAGAGTCCTGCACTGGGTCGGGCACTTGCGAGTACTAAGGTAAACTACAGATAACTATTATGGTTAGTCTCTACTCTTTGGGGCCTTATTATAACATTAATTACTCGCAAGTACGACAGTAAACTACAGATAACTATCTTGCTCAGTATCTACTCTTTGGGGGGTTAATACAACGTTAATCACTCGCGAGAGCGCGGCCTTGAAATGATGTCACGTCCAGGCTCCAGGTCAGAGAGTCAGAGGAGGTTCGTCTTGGATAATAGGGCAGCGACTTACCGGAGAAAAGGTACTTATTAGCTTAAGATAACTCAGAATAGATTTTTCAACTTATATACTTTTGCAAAATATTGATGGCCAGCTAGCGGTACGGAACATATCGGTGTCTTAAGTTAATTGGGCCCGGTGCCAACTCATTAAGCTAATATCTACACGCCATGACGGAACGGCTGACTGCATCTTCAGATGAGCTTGTTCAAAATATTTCTCTATGAAGAGAAAGACACCTGATGAAGATGATGCTAGTCAGGTATCATTAGCTTTTTACTGATTCATAAATGATGATTGTCAGATAAAAAACAGTGTTAACACTTGTAATCAGATATGATGTGAGTGTAAATGATGTAACGTTGATGTTTTCTGTAATCGTATAAGACAAGTAACATTAGACAGGGAGGAGCAGTGGAACAAAGTGAAGGAGAGCAGAGTACAGCAGGGGGAGAGCTGAGTGGAGGAGCAGGAGAGCGAGATGAGAGCAGAGGAGAAGAACCTAAAGGGAAGCTCAGGCTATCAGGCTGGGACCCTACATGGGCTGAAAGAAATAGCCGCTTCCACTCATGGCTCTACCACGCTGATAATGGTGAGTATCCATGAAGCTTTTTTTCCTTTCTTATTTTTTTGCATAATATACATGTCAATATTTCCGTTAAGTAAATAAAACATAAAATAATGAACAATAGAATGACGAGTGGGCTGTATCCCTCCATGAGCCAGCTGGCAGTCGTTGCCCTGACGGTTCCCATTTCAGGTGAGACCTGTGAGAGGGATTTTTCAACGATGAATAGGATAAGACATCTCATAATATATCATCAGACACAAACTAGAAACCATTTTAAATGATTAGGGTGTAGGAAATTGAGAGAAACAACCTCACTATTGTTTCTATTTGTAGGTGAAGACTGACTTGAGAAACAGGCTTCAGGGGATCAGCTTGCATCATGAATGCTGCTGAGCATCAGCAGACACCTCTTGGAGAATTTGTCTACATCAGAGCCTTAGAGCTCTTTTATTTAAAAAAATAAAAATAAAAACCTTACATTTATTTATTATTTTTACATTCAGCCTTTAAAAAGTTAACTAAAACTTTCCACTGGCCATTCAATAAATAGGTTGTAAAAGTAAAATCTGCAGTCAAGTGTGATTTGTTTACGCCACCACGACTCCTGGAGAGCCTGCCCCCACTGCTGAAAAAAATCCTAGAGGAAACACTGCATCGGTTTACAAATTAAGGCACTGCATGCAAATCATTTAGTCAATTTGAAGTGTTTTAATTACAAAAAAAGCCTCAGCTGGGTTTCTACTTTAATTTATTCATTTCAAAATAGAAGCTGCCTAAAACCAGACAGCTGGAATGATCCGTCACTTTGAACAGATGTCATGCAGCTTGTTCATTTGGGTTCAAATGAAAAATAAAACCCAATTTAAACGTCTGATTCCATTTGTACCAATAAGACTGATGCTGTTTCAAGTTGCTCAAGGCTTTTCTTGGGATTTCTTACATGTTGAGAACAGTGCCAGGCCCGGCAGAGGAAGCCCGTTACTTACAGTGTTCTCATCTGCTGGGTTTCACTAACAACCTGAACACGTTGTGGTTCATGTACCTTGGCAGCGTAGCTCCACATGTCGATACGATCCTGAAGTCTCTTCTTGCACTCCGGCTGCAGGCGAACACGTTTGTCCTGCAGCGCCTCCATCAGGCACGACATCTCTGAGGACAGACAGACAGACAGACAGACAAGACAGACAGACATGGCCGTGTCATCTTGGGTTCATTTGAAGCTGCATTGTTTGATGTCAGATCATCTAGAAACAATGGTTAGACACTATTTATTGTCCATATACTATTTATATGTGGACAAGTAAGTTAGTGGTGATGCTGAACTAGCTAAACTTCTTTCTACTTTGTAGAGACAAACACAGGGACCTGAATCCGTTATAGTTTTGATACTGCTGTATTGTTTGGATGGCTCTAACAGTTCTGTGATGAATACAATTTCATGTTGTTTTTACTGTGGTTTTTGTATTGCAGGTATTTCCTGCACTTCAGTAATCAGTTTTGTTTTTATCAGACAGAAGCAGTGTCCTCACAGGGATTTTAAGGATGAATAAAGTTGACAAACTTGTTCATTAAACTGTAATAAACTGAAAAAGTCAAACTGAAATGGTGTAGAGACTTTGCGTGGAAAAATGTACCTCTGAGCACAAATGAAAATATCTAAAATAGAAAAATAAAAATCCATCTACATTACAGTTGAAAACTGAAAACCATAAAAAAACAACAAATGTCTCCATAAAGAAATGTTATTTACTCAACAACATTTTTACTGCACTCAAAGCCTAACAAGGGTTCATACAGATCGCTGGTTGGAGGAAAGGTCTCGTCAGTTTGTACATATATCTAATATTTAGAAAAGAACGCCACTGTGTGTCTTTAGAGGGTGTGAACACCTATTGAA